ATCTGTCACATACAAAGGCTACATCAACAGAGGTCATGTAATATATTAGTTTTTAATGTTTAATGCCAATAAGTAAAGCCTCTTGAAAACATAAGAACAGGTATAGGGGTCTTCAGCTATTGACTGATACAATTAGCTGAATACCATATGGTTCAGTTGCACGGTTCTGTGACTTGAAACATCATCAGCTATCCTGCATGAGTGCATATCTAAACCTAAACATACTGCAGAAGACCACTGATTTAAGGATTCACAGGGAGCACACCTACCTGCTCTTTATTTACTCTTCAAATTTTTGGTGGGTGAAAGGAACTAGGCAGCACTTTGACCATGTTGTTATTTACTCCAGTGAAAGAAATAAAAATATTTTGATGAGTTATTTTCATGCTGTTAAGCTCCCAAAGGCTAACTGCTGTGAAGAAGATAATGTAATATTTAGTCGTCAAGTTTGGGACTAATGGATTAGGATGCCTAGTTAGTAAAAATCAGCACTTATCACATCTCTGGGAGTCCCATGAGCTATAAACTTCTTGAACATCTCTATTGTTACAGTCATTTTCAATTTTGTTTCCTACTCTGCAGAATTTCCCAGGAGATGTGATGGGTCAGTAGCAGGCCAAAGAAGGACTTCAGACCTAATCTAATCAATATTGTGACAAACGTAATGAAAGAAGCTATGTCACCTTGGAATCCCAGTACATTTTATCAGCTCTGCTCCTAATGGGATGTGACAGCAAGGTTGAGATGTGTCTCCTTTGGACAGGAGCAAAATTGTGCAAGGATGGTTGTGTGACAAAGGGTAATCTAACTCCATGAAGATCACAACTAAAGGTTGAAACTAGAGGTCCTTACTTACATGTCAAACTCCAAATAGTTATTTTAATAACCTTCATTTTCACGTGAACTGTTTATGCACTTATTACATTTTCAGCTACTCTAACATGTCATCTCTGTTAAAAGTATTGGTAACTTTCCGTTTCAGTGAGAAGGTTCTGAAATTGGTTTCACAAATTAGAAAGCAGTAGTGACTGGCTTTAATATGTATTCCAAACAAAGCACTTTCACTTCAGTCCTCTGTAATGGTTTTATATTTTATTTTTAATTACCCATTTTTGCAAACACGTACAACTAGATTACTTGTTCCTCCAGTACATGCCATTTCTATGAGACTGAAGTCAAAGACTTGTACTTCTTTTGTCCTGTAAGTTGCTCCCTTAGTACTACTTTATCCTAAATTTAGCTGCTACCTTAGTAGTCTTCAATGATGCATTCAGTTGTGCAATCTCAAATTTTTGTGCCATTCTAGTTTTGAGGTGGCAGCTTTGCTAAAGATGTTTTTTATGATAACCTAATTTTCTGTGCTCAGAATTGTATATAGCATTACCAAACTCAACAGTTTCTGTCCTTAATTCTAATCATTCTAGTTTCTCTGTCTAGCTAGGTTCATTGAGACCCTCCACACTGACTCATGTTGTCTGTTGTCTTTATAGTTTCTCTGTTCTTAACTGTTGTCCACATAGTGTGATGAGGTTATTCTCAGGGCATTTGCTGGCTCTGTCCCTTCACCCTGAACTTCTCATACATAGAAATCCTGTGAACATGTAGACTATCATTTGGACATCTGGAAACTTTCAGAGATATTACTATCATAACTATCAATGTTGGTCAAGAAGCTCTCGTATCGTGTTCTTTTTCCTTGCGAAGGTAACCTTTAAAGTATCTTGTGAAAATTTACTTATTTCTTATCTACACATAATATTTTAACATGAAAAATTATATTGCTTCTCCTTTAAGACCAAGCTGTTTCTGAATCTCATTTTCAATTATTGAAGTTTTTTATATGAGGATTTCCATAAATTGCCTTGATATGTAAAGAGCTCCCTTATACTTTTCACTAATCCTGCAATTACATTCCGTAGAGCCTTTTCACTTTCCTTAATATGAAACTAAATCTCTCTCTCACCTACTCCTTTACATAACCAACACACTAAGAATTATGGATATGACAGCTAAATCCAACTTTTAAATCCCAGGCATAGTAGCTATATGCTATGGCTGCTCTCTGTTTCTTTCTACTAAGCTGTAAGCAGTGAAATATCTTATTAGTTAATTTGAAAATCGTTTCTCAAGGGATTGCATGGCTTATGTGCATGAGGCCCCTACCAACTCACTTAAATTTATCAGACTGAGAAACTTGGTGCAGGACTGCAGCTTAGTTGCTGCAGCAGAAACATTCATTTCCCTGTGAAGTACTAGGATAGCATTTTTGATCTAGCAGCAGTTATCCTGGAAACACCCTTGAATCACATTTTCTGGAGATGGTAAATCCCATGTGTCTGACAACAAGAGCTCTCACTTTCTAATTCTTTTAATTTGTAATATACCAAAACCTGCTATATTTTGGATCTTACAGAAATATTTTTTATTCTGTTGTGTAAGTCATCAGAATGCATATTTTGTTGCAATTCAAATGCCCTGTTAGTCTTGAAATTTCAGTGTTGTTGTTGCGTACTGATTAATTAATTAACTTGGGAAAAAAAGGTACCGAGAATAAGACCTCTGAGACAAAATACCTATCTTTGACTTAAATAGCTGAAACCTGATTATTGATGTTCTGGGGAGCACCACCTGACTTTGGGATAGGCTGACCCCAAAACACAAATTCCAACATCCCTGGAAAGCTGAATTTTGGTTCTGTGTGTAGGGCTTCTCAATGTACTGCATCACTTTAAACCTGCCTGCACAATACTGAAACCGTTCCACTTGGTGAATATTAATTCAAATTGATGTTTTTTGTCTTTTCTGATATTGTACTCAAGAGGGGGGAAAAAAAAAAAAAATCACGTACTACAATAACATGAAATATTACCCTCTGTTTCCATTTTACCACAACAGCATTGTATAAAGGCACCATGTCATTATCTTCCTTATGGATGATATCAATTCATTACATATGACCTAAGCGTGACATAATACACAGAACAAACAGTGAGTTCGTAAACTGCATCACAGTTTTAAATGTGCTTCCTCTGTAACATAGTATTAAGTTACTTTTACTAAATCACGCATGGCTAGCTGTCTCTCTGATGGCTGGACTCTGCCACCACTGCAGCAGCAATACCTAGCACAGAGATGCTCTCTCTATAGTTTGCCCAGAGGCGTATGTGCCTCCTAAAACACCAGCAGCACGCGAGAACAGGTAGTACAGAGCACAGCACTGTGCAAAACTTACCCGAGTCTCAAGGACCATGTCTTCTCTGAGCTGGGGCACCCCACGCGCCGGCGTCTGTCCCTGCCTTTCGCTGCCACGGAAGCAAAGAGCTGCTTCACTGCTCCTCTTTCGCATCTACGTTTAGGCAGAGCGTGCTGGGGACTCTGGTGAGCCCTGTGTTTTCCATTACAATTATACCCCAGAAAAAATGAAAGTGTTACGGAAGGTAGCTCATAAGAGGAAATTATGAGTCTCAGCCTTCCACAACGTAGGGGTCATGTGCTGGGTTGCCGGGTAGTGACTGGGAACTTCCATTCCTGTCCCCTTTGAGCTGTAGCGAAAACAAGGCTGTTTTGCTGGTTTTGCTACATATAGGGTTATAGGAATTGACATGCTAGTTAAGACCGGTGTATGGATGTTGTGAAAGAACAGAGGTTGGTTTGGGACAGATTTTTCAAACTGGCTGCTAAAATTTCTCCAAATTTCTGAATTTGGTTTGCTATGATTTTAGAGCAGCATTTCTCAAATGTCCTAATTTGATTATCTTTTTTTGAAAAATACAAAATTCCTAAAAAGCTACCTGGAATGGGTTTACAATGTTTTCTATGGATCTATGGAAATCTGACAGGAACAAACTCTGGAATTAAACTTGTTGATGTGGGTTTTGTTTTGTTTTGTTTTGTTTTTCTCTTGGTTTTCATTTGATCATTCTTTGTACTTGATTTTTGCACAGTAATATCCACAGAATACCAAACATTCTTCAGAAGCTCAGTTAAATCATACAGAAGAAACACTAGATGTATTCTGGTTGGAAACCTGAACTGATTTCCCAAATGGTATTATGTCCTTGATAAATAAAATAATAAGAAAGAAGGAATTCTCTCTATTCCATATATGTCTACAGTGTGAAATCTTCCAAACAGAAGCAAATCAGGAAACACCAAAAGGAATTTTCTGTGTACATAATGTTAGTTTATAGTTAATGAAGATAGTATGTCAGTGGTGAAGTGGTTTTTGTTTTGTTTTGTACAAAGGTATAGAAATTTAAATAAGCATGTAGAAATAAGGAGACTAGAGAAACTGGAACAACTGTCAAAGGAAATGAGGAAGAAATTACAAAGGTGATTGCAAAAGATGATGACACCTTTATGGAAATGGAGCTGGCATTTCCATAGAGGAAATACAGAGAAATAGTTTAGAAAGTGAAGGTAACAAGATAGGGCTGTGACTATATGCTAATAGAATATATCTGAAAGAAGTTAGTGGAATACATTTAATCTGATTTTGCATGAGGCTTGGTATCTGAGATGAACAGTAAAAATGGACAGGAAGGATTTGACTTTTACAAGTGACATGTATATTAAGATGAGATCTGAGAAGTGGATGTTGAAGGGGATGGCTGAGGAGCACATAGTGAGCTCATTAATCAGAGATTTGTCTGAAGTGGTGGAAGGAAAGGATGGATGGGGTAGGGGGGAAGGAGAGAGCAAGTGGGTTTTGAAAGCAACTATCAATAATATTGAATTTTACAATGTACTGTTCTCCCTGTTCAGTCTCTTTGCCTGCATTTCCTAGTGCACAGTTGTGCTTCAAGTAGTTCCAAGATTGTTTCTACTGCACCTGTGTACAGAGTCTTCTAATGTCTGAACTAATTTTTATTCAAGTTTAAGGCTGCCCAGTGTGATTTCTGAACAATATAAAACTCTAACTATAAATTATCCTACATCAGTGCTTTCAAGTAAAAAAGAAACTTTTACGTAAGAATCATAAGAAGTAAAATAATACTTACTTTGCATTTCTTTACAGCAGAATTGCACAGTGGTTCTGCCATCCAGCCTTTCCCAGTGGGTGGACTTCCAGCTATTTCACTCTATGATTTTTGTCATGTGTCTTGCCTCCTTCCCCTTAAAACAAGGGGTGCAATGGATTACTATTCAGAACACACTGTTATTTTCCACTGAAAATGCATTGTAGTATCAGAATAAAATTTGACATGCATAGTTTTAGAGGGGGGGAGGGTCATAAAAAGGAGGAAATAGCGCAAATTCTGGTATTACAAAAAAGGGGGAAAGGCAGAATTTTAAATACTAGGTGCCAAGAGAAGGGCAATAGGAAAGGAGTTGGAAGGGTTAAACCCCCCATCCCAGTTCCCCAATGACAGCAGTTTTGTAACAGCCATTAAGCAATATCTAGTAAAATATCAATGATATTTATATTGCTAAATTTTCTGGTCATTGTACTGCATAGTGAAAAATAAAAACCTTGGAATTTAGAATTCTTTAGTGTAGTTATGGAAAAAGAAGACTACTAAATTTTATTTTCTTCTTGAAGTACTGTGGCAGCATAAAGGAGAGTGACAGCACAATCATATCTCATCAGAATGATGGATAAATCATTAATATGTTTAATGTATACTAAACTGTCTTAAATGTGACATAAAAATAGAGAAACTGGCAACCATTCTGTTGACAACTAAAAAAACATGGACTGAAGAGAATTCAGGTCTGAGCGGTTTGAAGACACACTGCACTTAAGATAAACACAGAGGTAATTCACCACAGACCGACTTCAAAACAGTAGTAGGACTTGGGTTTTTTTCAGTTTTTTTTCTGCAGGAAATTCACAGTTGCTGCATTACTAAGCTGAACTTTATTATAGTTTCAAGGCTTTTTTTTTTTTTTTTTTTTTTCTTCTAAATACAAAATTAAAATAGAGCTGTGAGTGTGCTGGCTGGCACTAGCCACACAGGTCTCTTACAGCTGAAGCTCTTTTCCTTCAGTGACGGCACTAAGCTGAGTTGTTCTCTGAGCAAGTATTTCTCTAGCACTGAGATCTCTACCTTTTTCAAATTTCAGTTACTTAATGAAATTAAATATTGGGGGAGCTTGACATACATGTAGAATAAGCACACAAAACTAATTTCCCTTGAAAATCAGGCTAAAAAATAACACTTATTTGCACAAAAATTGATACGTAACTAAATGTATAAATATTTTATAATATATTACACCAAGTAGGTTAACAGTCAGTTGTCAGAGTGATAATGACTTCATGGCCGTATGGAATTAAGGACTAAATATTCATATACTTGTACCTGTGAGTCTGAATTTTCCAAAGTGATTCAATGTCATCAATTAATTTGTCTTCAGTTAGTGCTTGATCAATCTCTTAGTTTAAAACAAATTTTAAAAAACTCCTAGAGCTACTGTAGTCTCAATCTATGGGTTATTTTAAATCAAAGCAACTGTTTTCAAATCAAAATCTGATTTCTATGACTTCAATTGTACAAAGAGAAGGAAATATAGGAAGTAAGCAAGAAACACGAAAAATACAATGTTGAGTTGGATGTTAATTGTTCTGTTACTTTTATATGATAGAAGATTTTTCTGTTATCAATTTTTCTGTGATATCAATGCAGAAATGCTGCTTCACTTAGATGCCAACAGCTGCAGATTTTGCCTGGAACTGGTGAAAATGTTTTGTTTGTAGGGGTTTTTTGTTTGGTTGGTTGGGTTTTTTGTTTTGTTTTCTTTTTTTAAATCAATAAATATGCTCCTGATTCAGGACAGCTTCTCCAATGACTTTGAGGATGAAGATGACTTCTGTATAAAGAATTCAAAGACCTTCTGGCAGGCCTTCCAAGCTCTGCTGCAGATGCCATCAGAACCTAATGCAGTAGGAGCATACAATTGTGTTTACATTTTGTTATTAGTAAACACCATTACTGGGAAGCCAGCTACATTTATTCAGCTTCCCTGTAAAGATTTAACTTTTCAGTAAAGCCTAAAGTGCTCTAATACCAAAGGTACTGACTTCCCATTGTAGAGTATCTCCTTTTGCTTTTCCTGCCTACTCGCCAGGATGCCGAATAGGTCTAGAGCAGGACATCATCTTGCCTGAGAACCAGGGAAAGCCTCTTAATGCTATAGCTTAAATGTGATCCGTGTGCAGTTACCAGGCAGTTTGTCTTGACCTTCAGCTTCAGCAAGATGTGACCTTTTGTAGTTGCTGCAGTATGAGTTAGGCATACACATGGGTGCAATCAACACTTACTCTGTCATTTCTTATTCTGCTTCTCACAAACACATATCATTTGAAAAGACTGAATGGGCTCAGCTTTGGCGGAAGGTAGATGTGCCCATGTTAGGGTAAACCAGGCTGTGACTTCAAAAAGCTGCAGGCAGCCAGCTTCCCTTTTTGTAAAGAGAGCGGCTTCCTGCTAGCACTGATACTGCAATACACCACTGCGTATGAAGTGGAAATCCCCACCCCCCTCAATTTTACGTAGTGGAACCTACAGTAAGTGTAAACACATAATGGTATGTTTATTTTTGGAGAAGTGGGAAACTAGTGTGGGAGTAAAAAGTTCTCGTGGTTTTTTTCACCATCTGCCCAGTTACTTGTGTACAGTGGTTTGGAGGAAAAGATCAAAAAAGCTAATAAAATCCCCCAAAGATCACTGAAACTTCGGGAATATTTTTGCAGAACTTGTTATTAGAGAATATATACTTGGAATTAGAGAATACAGCAGTGATGTCTCTTCTGCTTCATCTTCCTTGCTGAGATACTATGAAAATATTAAAATAATGCCCCAAATATAGTTTTTAAATGTATAAGTGCTGTTCATTGTTGAGTGCAAACAGTTGTGATTTTTCCTAATATAAGTCATGCATGTATGCTGCAGGCTTAAAATTAGAATCAGTATACTTTCCAAGAAAGCTGTAAAGCACAGTTGAACAAAAGATGTGTTATGTGGGTAGACTGTGATTAATATTTCTAATTGTGAACATAGATATAGTCTTTTTTCATCATTGGAAGTCACTGACTTCGGAAGGATACACTTTTTTTTTCCTCCATTTTTGTTTATGTGAAGTTTGGCTCCAAGTATTTGGCAACAGAGTCTATTTCTGAATGTTACTAATGCAGTTTAGTTTTGATGGAGTATTATCTCCAAGCAATGCCAAGGCTACTGCAATATATGAATATGGATTTGATTTAATTTTATTTTTTTGTACCTGTGTAGTGCCTGTATTTTGACTTGCACCTCATTATGATGCTAAAAGCTATCTTGGTGTCTCCCCTTGGTTGGTACTGGGTTGTTATCATTCATCAGTGCCATTGATTCTGCTGTTAGTCAAAAGGAACTTTAAAAGAGGAGGATGGGAAATCCATGAGAGTTTAACAGTTTGTTTCCAATTATTGGAGGAGTGTCAGCAGCTGGATAGCAACAGATATGTTGTTTGCTGGGTAGGAAGTTCTCATAGTGTGGGTTCTTGGAAGAACAGCAGATTGACTGGCATCTGAGAGATAAAGTAGTCATGGCAGATAGTGCTGAGACCTTTTCAGCTGGCTGCCTCTTGGGGATACTTGCTGTGTTTTATTCCCAGGCCACAGAAGAGTAACCTCAGCAGTGTCAGCACCGCAGTGCTGAGGGAGAAGTCAGACCTATCTGGCACTCCGCTGTGGGTGCGGTATTTCCAAGACACTGGAGACTCTGCTGCAGTGACTGTTACAGGACCCTCTGGCAGAGCTGTGTGTAGGGACTGCTTTGAGGAAATACTGACCAAGAACAGGGAGGTGTTACTAGATTTTCACTGCTTTTTTCCAAAAGGGAGAAGATGCTAGTCATGAGAGGAAATGCCAAACAGTGTGGTCTGATACAAGATGGGTAGCAATTCAGCATGGATAAGATGGTTATTAATCCATTATTCTGTAACTCCGTTATTACTCTTGGAAGGGATTTGCAAGGATTGCAGGAACTAAGCATATTTTCATGTTGAAACATAAACTTGAAATAATTAAAAATGAAGAATAGTTATGATTTTTCAATATGCATCAATTCTTACTTTTTTTTTTTTTAATTTATTTTAAATCATTTATTGAGTAGTGAAGGTTCTGAGGAAGCAGTTCTTTGAACTATTTCTCATATATTGTGAAAAAAACTGTGTTCCCTTTCAGTTTTATTTAAAGTAGGAAAGAGGAAGCACTCTAAGTAAAAGACCTAGAGTATCATTACGTGATGTCTGATTAGTGGCTTTCTGAAGATTGCCTTTGATTGCCCAATACAACTTGTTGTTTAGGAGAGTGTTGGTGAGAAAGAGAAACATTGTGCTTGAAACTAGCTTCCGTATTTGAAAGAAAGCCTCTTCTTTTTTTCCTGATAATCATGACAATGGGATGGAAGCTAGGTTCGGTTATGTTTGCCAGTTAAACTCTGAAAATACAATAAACCTGGAAATGTATCAGGAAAACATATAGATTATAACTGACAATATCTTAAGATTTTCCTTTAAAATGGACATGAATTTCCCTTTAGCTATCCCCGACACGCTGCTCATAGGTTAATGGCTAGCAAAGGAAGTGAACATTTGTGATTCCTTACAGATATCTAAGAGCACATCTTCACTGTGCATCGGAGAACCACACAGATGCTCCAGGCTGTGCCGCATCGAGCCGATGCCTGCGTGCAGCGCAGATCAGTGCTGTCAGAAGCACTTGCTTACATATGGAAGTAGTGCAACAGCATTAGCCCAATATTGTGCCAAGGCTTTGCACCAGAGAGTAGACTTAGGTCTGTAGACCGTCAATATTTAGACCCTTAAAAAAATGGACAATACGTACTGGACAAAACTAACTTCAGCAGTTATTTTATATGCATGTACAAAGATGGAGTGATCTTGCTACTTCTGAAGGTGCTTTGGAAAGTGACCCTGGGATGTTGTATTTTAACATCAGGCTTCACCCATAGCTCATGTTTCAAGCAAAAAGCTGATCTTAGACTCCCAACCCTCGTTTCTCCTTGTGACACCTGTCCAATTACATAGTCAATTTTTTAAAAGTATGGAGAGACATAGACTGAAATAAAATGTTTTCTTCCATATTGATTTAACTGTGACCTCTTATA